ACAAGCTAAATCAATGGGAACTACTAGACACATCTGCAATCAACAACAATTATTGAAGATTTCCAGAGGACTTCACCATTGAAATTTACCAGAGCTATAGTGAAACTGACAATGTCCTCGTGCATGGCAGCTGGATGCTGGAATACATCGGGTAAAAGTGAAAAAAAGATACAGCACTGGGACTTGATCAACAGCCGATACTGCACCGTGATGTCACAAACCAGTAGGTGGCAGTAGTGTTCTTTGACAAACATGGATGCCTCCAGTAAAGCACATTCACATGAAAATTACTCTGAATTAAAACTCTGATCATTTATAAAACACGATGGAATAATTTAATACTTAAAGAACTTTCAGAAGTTTGATTTCTGAATATGAGCGGACTTTTCCTTTAACCTGGTGAATCAAAGAACGTTAGTAAAGATCAGATTTTTATCCGACATCATTCAATTTTTCTCTGAAACCTTTACTGATTTCTTCCATAAAAATGTTGAAGTGTTTTGTTTTTCTTCTACCTCGCATTAAATCCCAGCAAAGATGCTGAAAGTTTTGGTTATTTTCTGGAAAATGTGATCAAATTCTGCGCCTTCTGCATTTGTTTCAACTTTCCTTTGGTCTGAACATCCAGGACCCACTGTTCCGCTTCTTTGAGCGCGAGGTGAAGATGGGCGGCAAGATGCTCCAGGAGGTCCGTCAGGACCTGTCTGACGTGGTGCAGGTGTGCGAGGGGAAGAAGAAGCAAACCAACGACCTGCGCACGCTAATCAGTGACCTTGTTAAAGGTCTTTATTTTTTTCATTCAGTTTGAGATGGATCCAATAAACGGGAACACCAGAGCTTCGTCTGTCGTGTGAACCTGCTTCTTTTGTTCCGTAGGTGTCCTCCCCCGCAGCTGGTGCCGCTACACGGTCCCCTCCTCCATGACCGTCATCCAGTGGGTGTTGGACTTCAGTGAGCGAATCAAGCAGCTGCAGCAGATCTCCCAGGCAGCTGCCAGCGGCGGCGCTAAAGAGCTCAAGGTTCAGTTTGTGTTCAGATTAAAAGCAAATCAAGCTGTTGTGGTTAAAGTAGCTGCTTACGGCTCTGCTCTCCTCCTCCACCCGCCAGAACATCCATGTGTGCTTGGGCAGCCTGTTTGTGCCAGAGGCGTACATTACTGCTACCCGCCAGTATGTGGCGCAAGCTAATAGCTGGTCCCTGGAGGAGCTGTTCCTGGAGGTCAACGTCACCACGGCTCAGGGCGCTTCACTGGACGCCTGCAGCTTCGGCATCAAAGGTCAGACATGAGCCTCCGTCACCCTTACCCTCCACCCATTTAAAGGCACAGAGCGCCGCTCTCATGGTGGCATGGAGCCATTTGAGTTTGGAAACTCAGAAAATTAAATATAATGAGCATAGAAAGAATATTAGAAATGTTTCTGTTTGATCCAAGCCCAGATTTTTAGTAGGACACTCGGTCTCTACGCTTATATGGACACAAACGGTCAGTATTTAGATGGATTGTGGGAAAATTCTCCAACTAATTTAATATTGATTTCAAGTATTTTAAAGGAAAAGAGCTCTAAAATGCTTTAATATTGAAAAATCAATTAAAAAAGGATTTAAAAAAAAGATATTTTATAAAATTAAGTCATTCATTTTTTTTTGTCAATTTACTGCTTAATACTTGGACCTCTGACATTTGTCAGAAATGTTAGATTTAAACTTGCACATCAAATTTTTCTGATATCTTTAGATTTTTATTTTTCTGGTTTAAATGTAAATATTTTTTTGCAAATTGGCAACTTTTCAAGATGGGTCAAAAAAAGTTAAAGTTGAAAAAGATCAGCTTTTTTTCTCCCCTTGAAAGTATTCTGAAATTAATTTAAAAACTTCTTTTATTGCATAAATTTACCCTTTTTTTTCTCCTTTTTATATTGACTTGAAACTGAAACCTGAAAAAGACAAATCAAAGAATCAATTCAGTTTATTTCTAAAGCACCAATTCACATCATGTCATCTCAGGTCACTTTCCAGTTCACCAGATCATCCAGTCAGATTGATTCCAAGTTTTCTATCTAAGGAAAACCAGTAATTTGATCTGCAGAACATGCAGACAGTGAAGCCGGTCTGCTGCAAATCCGGTTAAAAATAGAAACTGCATAGAACCCTGGAGAGGAGCGTAGATATTGGAGGGAAGTGTCAGTTGATCTTAACTGGTTCTAACGAGTTTCTCCCATCCAGGCCTGAAGCTGCAGGGCGCCACCTGTGCCAACAACAAGCTGTCCCTGTCCACCTCCATCTCCACGGAGCTGCCGCTCACTCAGCTCCGCTGGATGAAGCAGAGCAACGCCGAGAAGAGACACATGGTGAGATCGCCACAGAGCCCAGTCAACAAGATAGAAGCTTCTCAGGCTGAGCTTTCTGTTCTCCGTCTGCAGGTGACCCTACCCGTCTACCTGAACTTCACCAGGACTGACCTCATCTTCACCGTGGACTTCGACATCGCCACCAAGGAGGACCCTCACAGCTTCTACGAGCGCGGAGTCGCTATCCTCTGCACCGAATAATTGCATGGAGTCATTCCTGTCGCCCTAATTAATCATTAAACTGCATTTAATCTGTCTTTCATTACTGGCTTTCCCATAGAGGTAGTGCTTCTGTGATTTATCCTAATAATAACCTTAGAGATGTTTGTGGAGCAGTGATCCTCCGATCGTAGAGTTCCTGGAAAGTGATTGTGAAGGTGAAGAGGAAGTCGTCAGATGGAAAAAAAAATGGGAAGGAAATGAGTTTAGTAGAAAGGTTGGAAATGTTTTAAAGAGGATGTTTTTAGATTGAATAAAGCTTCTTGCATTGTGATGAAAAAGCTTCTGTTGTTTTTCTTTTCTTATAAATTCCTGGTTTTTGTTTAGAGGTATCAGAATAAAGTTTTTAAATGTATGCTTGCAAATAGAAATGAATATATATATTTTTTTTTTTTGCCAAAAGAATCAGATTCACTTTATTAATCCCTTGAGGTAAATTATTTTCTTGCAGTGCAACAGTTTACAGAAGAGAGAAAAATAAGAATAAGTTCAAATAATATAAGGATCACAGTATTTACAATCAGGGGCGGATTTAGGAAATTTGGGGCCCTAGGCAAAGACAGGCAGGGGGCCCTCTGATGCTAGAAGACGACACATAAAACAGCCCCATTCTACAGATAGAGAAATGTTAATAGAATAGACATCCATTATCTGTTCTAGGTTGTGTCCCTCTCTTCTTGTCCCTTTTCTTCTTGTTTTCCTCTATGTTTTGTACTCAGCTGACTTTTCATGCTGTCTCTAAAGGAATGAAAGATTTTTTCCAAGCACTAAGCTCACTTAGCTGATTGCTCCTTCCTGTGTTTCCAAAAAGGCCAAAGTAAATAACCCAGTCCTTCTTTTCACTGCAGACAAGCCATGATCTGCTTATCTGTTCTCCATTTTTCATTTGGATGAAATAATAGCTGCATGAATCATGACAAGATCTAAGTACCTCTGAATCACTTTGAAGACTTTGCCGGAGAAACGACTACCAACACCGAAATTCTCTATGCTATTCGCTCTGAGACGCTGGAAGCCATTAGAAATTTGAAAGGGGATGTGCAGGGGTGTCGTGCCACGGTATTTATTATAGGCTACATCCAGAAGGACTTACTTTATCCTTTGTCATATTTGGTGTTTAAATCTGTTATGTTTATACATTTTATGTTTATATTGACTCATTTCTGTATGTTGTAACACCCTTATTGAATCGAGGCGGAGTGAATTAGATCAGCTCTACTCTGCGAGCTCCCTGAGGATTACCTCCTCTCTCGCACACTGATAAGACAGATTGAAATACATATGAACAAAAAGGAAACTTTTAAACATATTCTTAATGTTTTCATATTTCTTATGCATAGAAAATAAACTTTATGGATTTCACACAATGGACAAATTAACTCCCTGCATTTAAACCATCCCCTTGGCGTGCAGTGGGCTGCCATTGTGCGGCACCCAGGAAGCAGTGTGGGGTTAAGGGTCTTGCTCAGAGAGCCAGAGTGGCAGTCCGCTGGAATGGGTTTCAAACTCACAACCTCAGGATTCTAAGCTCTATTCCCTAACCACTAGGCTGCCACTTCACTGTAATTTGAAAAAGATGCAATTCCTAAAACTCAGTCTGAAAATACACTTGGGAAAAAAAATAAGCTATCTGTAACAAAAAAACTTTTAAAAAATATATATTTGGAAAAAATATTCAAATTTCCAGTTCTAAGAACTGTGTTCCTTTACATTTTTTATGCATTTCTGCTTAAGCACACCTGATTAGGATGTGCTCTCTTCATCCTCTGACATGGGAGCTGGCTCTGAGCTCGTCTGCCTGGCTGTGTGTTTCCTGGACGGGGCCGCCTGTGGAGCTGGTTGACAGTTGCCTTTTGTATCTATGCTTCTTTTTCTATGTCTGCTTCTGTCTCCTTCAACCCCAGTCGGCCTCAGCAGATGGCCGCTCACACTGAGCCTGGTTCTGCTGGAGGTTTCTTCCTGTTCAAAGGGAGTTTTTTTCCTCTCCACTGTCGCTACAAGCATGCTTAGTGTGAGGGATTGCTGAAGAGTCAATGAGTCGATGCAATCAGCTGGTTTTCCTTAGATAGAAAACTTTGAATCAATTGTACTGGATGATCTGATGAACTGGAAAGTGCCCTGAGATGACATGATGTGAATTAGAGCTATAGAAATAAACTGAATAGAATTGATCACCTTTTCATTCAGGTCAGGTTTATGGAGGCAGGGAAACACCTAAAACATGGAGGACAGAGGGGCATAAAGACCAGGGTTAATGAAACCAGCAAAGGGGGAACCACAGGGAAACCCTGGATCAGGGTTCTAGTCTGAAGAACCCACCATAGAGCTTAAACACAGACACACATGTGGCAGTTGCTCTTTTTTAATTTAGCCTTTTAATAATTTTTGCTTTAAGGACTCAATTAAATCTCAATGTTTCTGTTTTACAGCAAGACAAACTTCCTTCTTCATAGCAGCTTATTTGACAAAAGTATGACTTTAGCAACAGAATAAGGTTAAAATCAGGAGAAACTAACTTGATGAAAAAAAAGCAAAAGGGAAAACTAAAACGGTGGAATAATACGAATCACTCATGGGCAGTGAGCAGAGGCTTCAGGCACGCTTCATCCCGGTTCTCCTCGTTCATCCGCCGTGTTTACGACACACCGCCTCTTTCTGAGCTCCGCCTCCACTGGCTCTGCTTCAGGAGGAAGCTCCTTCCTCTTGCTCAGAGGTCTGAGGGATCTCCCCGAGCTGCTGCTCAGCATCTGAGGCGAGCTCCTTTCCTCTGAGATGTAAAGTCCAGGTGTGCAACATGTGGAAGATCTAGTAGCTTCCAAACCAGAGTCATCGAGCTGCACCTCTACATCCATGGCGTGGATGTTCTCACTTTCATCCGGAATCCTCCTGCAACCCTCCTCAGAACATCTTCCATGTTTCACCCGGGCGTCTCCCTGACGATGCATCAAAGACGCCCTCGTTGTGTCCGTCGTCATTGATGAGTGAGGGAACAGTCGCCTCCTGTGGCCTCCTTTACCGTGCGGCCTCGGCAGCCTAACGGTACCACCGCTGGACACATCAGAATCCTCCGAGCTCCCATCGTATGGGTCCAAAAACTGCACAACAAGACAGCAGGTGCATGGAATCAGCAGGAGGGGTCAGCAGCCGAGGTGTCTGGTTAGGAGGATGCTCACCAGCGAACAGCAGGCGTGTCTTCCCAAAGGCTTGTGCGTTAAAGTCGTCATCCGGCGTGAGGTTCCGCTCTCTGGTGCACTGCTCCCACATCCCTGCTCACAACAGACAGAGATTACAACCTTCACATATACTCTCATTATCAGCAGGAGTCTGAAATGATTCTACAACAAAACAAGAACCGCAACAAAAGTTTTCATTTGCTGTTTTTTCTCTTGTCCAAAAAAATAGAACCTTGCAATAACAGTTGGTTCTCACGTGCTCCCACTGATTGATCGATTAAAGGTCGATTTAGCAAATGGAAAATAAGCCGTGAGCTTCAGGAACAGATGAGGGTTCTGAGAAGTTTGTGCTACGTTTGGTTTGTGCAGCAAAAACGGATGTTAACTGACCTTTGATGACCTCTGCAAAATATCATTAAAATGATAACAGCACAAATGAAAATATACAAAAATATAACATTTTAAAATTAATTTTAAATATAAAATATATATAATGCATATTTTAAAATATATACATTTTTTGTACTGCTATCATTTTAATGATATTGTTTGTAGACGCCATCAAAGGTCAGTGAACATTTGTTGATTCTGAAACTCTGAATTTCATATAAATTGTTGCTAACCTATGATTATATCATTTTAAACTGTAAAAAAAATGATAGCGAAATGAAAATTTTTGCTGCACAGATGATTGACACCAATTTTGTCTAATTTGAAGAAGGTAGGGGGGCTGGTTGACCTTTTGACCTTTACATTTTCATTAATATCTTCAAAGCTAAAGAAGCACAAATGCCAATTTTTGCTGCACAAACGGAGCCGAGTTAATCGACGCCCATTTCGTCTGATTTGAAGAAGGTGGTGGGGCTGGTTGACCTTTGATGACCTCTAGAAACATCTCTTTATATCTCTAAAATAGTAGCGGCACAAACGAAAATTTTTGCTACACAAACATTTGACACTAATTTTGTCTGATTTGAAGAAGGTGGGGGGGGCCCCCAACTTCACTCAGGTGAGAAACCTTCCCAGGAGGTCTCGGTGTTCTGTCAGATCAGCATACCTATAGTCAATACATACAATACATGCACAAGAAGTCAGATTTGCATTTATCCCTTTTGTTTTATGTAAAATAGACTTTAAACCACATCAACAGGCGTGAATCCCTTTATTCATGTACAAAAAAAAAACAAAAAAACAGTTTAACGTCAGGTCGCCATACGCTTAAAAAAACACCCAAAAACTAAGTATTAAAGCTACAGTGTGTAACTTTTAGCGACATCTAGCGCTCAGACTGCAGACTGCAGCAACATGAACATCTCCCCCCCAACAGTACGGCGAGCGTTACGGGACAAAATGTCTTCCACGACGTCCGCATCACCTACCTTCTCAAGTGATGAGGTTTGTTTACATAGATAATTTTACAGATAGTATTTCATTAGTCTGTGTAGGATATAGATTTCATGTAGACTTAAGATAATAAATATACCCGTTATTTTTTCTACATCGTTGTGACGTTTTGGCGATCTCGCAATCACTAGTTTGTTGGCTCTGCGCTGCCGTAGCGCAAAGATGTCTGCCTCCATGGCTGCGAGACCCGCTCCTATGTAATTATAAATAACGAATTCTAAGGCAACGCAAATATTAAGGTTAAGAGGCTGAGCTCGTAGATGATGATAAATAACATAGTTATGTATAATATATTACATTTCTGACTGTATATCCCTGTAATTATTACACACTGTAGCTTTAAATAGTTCTTTTGTACGTGGCTAAAGGAATAAATGCCCGTTGAGGTAGTTTCAAGTGCATTTTTTATACAAAACTAAAGGGATAAACGGGTTTTGATTGTGGGTATGCTGGTCTGACAGATGGAAGATGTAAGGAGGGAGGTGTTACTATATTGGCCAAAATGGCCGCTCCCAGACTCAGTGATCGCGTTAAAATTATTATTTTTATACTGAATAACACTAAAGTCATTAAATCACAGTGAACGTATTAGTTTTAGGTATAAATAATGATCCATTGATTACTCCTTGCTGACCAGACATTTCCTTTAATACTTTTATTCTGCACCAGTTCAGCTTTTTGCTGACGTATTATTTTTGAAAAGTGAATAATTTTGTTGAGAAGTTTGTAGCTATGACTTTTAATGCCATATATGGTGTGATGTAAAAGTCTGGTTAGAAGCAAGCTCTTCTAAAAACAAACAATCAAATGTGCTAAATTTAAGTATCAAAGGAATACCAGAGTGCTGGTATCCGACCACATCGGACTGATCCCAGAGTCTGAATCTGTGCTGGAGTCCATCTTGAAAATCTCCCATTCAGCATGAAGGTCTCAGCAGGAGGAAGAACATTTCATGTAACCAGCTCAATGAAACGTTCACCTGATAAGAAAACAAGGACAAAGAAGATGAGAGGCTTCTTTCATCTTAGCACGCAGCTTAGAGTTAGCCGATCCACTGAGTTTGGTTCATGAAGAGCGTCGAGGTCTGGATGTAACAGGGACAGTGGCGGTTCAATTCTATTTGGTTTATTTCTATAGCACCAATTCACATCATGTCATCTCAAGGCACTTTATATTTCACCAGATCATCCAGTCAAACTGATGCAAAGTTTTCAATCCAAGGAAAATCGGTTGATTGCATTGACTAGTTGCAAATATGTCTAAGACTCATAGACTCTTCAGCAATCCCTCACACTAAGCATGCTTGTAGCGACAGTGGAGAGGAAAAACTCCCTTTTAACAGGAAGAAACCTCCAGCAGAACCAGGCTCAGTGTGAGCGGCCATCTGCTGAGGCCGACTGGGGTTCAAGGAGACAGAAGCAGACGTAGAAAAAGAAGCATAGATACAAAAAGCAGCTATTAAAGGCGGCCCCGTCCAGCAAACACACAGCCAGGCAGACGAGCTCCGAGCCAGCTCCCATGTCAGAGGATGAAGAGAGCACATCCAGTTAGTCACAGTCAGAGAAACAGGACTACACTGAAAAACAGGCTGATCTCCAACATCTAGAAACAAAGGAGTTGATGGCAGCAGCACAGCTGATATTTCTCTCCAGGATGGAGTCACAGCCAAACAGGAACAGACCAGATGAAGCTACTATGAGAAAAAGCAGAGAGAGCAGAACGTTAGAGATTGAACTAACAGATTCTGCAGAGTGGGAGAATAGAGATAGAATGACAAAAAAGGGGTCCCTATGTCTTCCAGCAGTCTAAGCCTATAGCAGCATAACTATAGAGATAGCTCAGGACCAAATGTACCGGGGGGCTGGGGGGGTCAGCATGTTTTCATGGGGGCACAGAAAAGCATGACATAACAAACAGGGCAAGGGATTAAAATATATCAAGAGAGTTGCATGAAGCGAAATTTCCATTCAATTAGGTTTAATTAGGATTGTATGTCTTCCATCTAAAAAATACTTATTTTTGGCTTGAAAATGTTTAAATTATCGTTTAATCAAAATAAAAATTCCTTAGCATAGCAAAAAAGCAACTCAAAAAAATGGTAGCTATAATAAATGTCTAAAAGATCAAATAAAGCTACTATTTACAATATTAGGTCTATACATATATAATTTATGGATTTTACATATTCTTTGACTTACTTTAAGTGAAAATAACTTCTATAAAATCTGAATTAGAACTCAAGAAAAACTGATAAATTAAGCTTTAAAATTTAGAGTATTTTTCTATTTGTTTTGAAAAAAAAAACATTAAGCAGATGAAAAGTTGGATCCTATCTCAATACAACTGAAAATTTTACTTTATTTTATTTCAAATATTTAGTAAAACAGAATTTGTAAAGAAAAAAAAAAGAAATAGATCCAACAGACCTATCGGTAACCATGTCTGTTCCAAGAAATATCATTATTAGAATTTCTTTTAGTAATATGTATTCGGTACAGGGGCCATAACAGGGGCCAGGGCCTGATCTGTAGAGGCACTGGCCCCTGTTGGCCCTTTTCTAGAACCGCCCATGAAGAGGGAAGAAAAAGGAAGTCATCAACTTTAAGAGTTAATCAAAAACCCATATCTGAATTTTAAACAGGGGTGTGGAAAAAAATCGTTTTGGGCGATAAATCGTGATTTTCGGCTGCCTGATATAATATGGATCTATTTATTAGTATCTATTTTTTTAAGCAAAACATTTTTTTTTAACCTAAAACTGAGGGAAAATGGTCTACCTCTGCACCGCCAGTCTGACAGATAGCGCTGTGGAGCGAAGCGTGTTGTTATCTGTAGTTGAGGCCGACACAGTGGAAGACATGAACTGAATCAAACCCCGAGCAACGTGGATACCAAAATGATCAGTATCATCCCATGAACATATACAGAGGTTGCTTTTTTATCTATACATTTAATTTTGATAGCAGGAAAAATGTCAAAATATATGGTGATATTGTAATATAGTGACACATATCGTATCTCAGCAAATTCTGAATTTAATCTCAGAATTGTGGATCTTAATGTAGATGGACACCATGAAGGCAGAGATGTGAGTTATTTGGGAGAAACAGGAACACATTGGTGGAAAATGATGGAATTAGGGAACTTTTTACGTCCCTGAGGGTTCCTGGTGATGCTGTTTGATTAATGGAAGAGCAGAAGGTGATTAAAACAAGAGAGCTAGTCTCTAAAACAGACATGGCTACGGCTTGACGCTAACATATTTGTTAGCTGTCAGAATTCTGAGATTAAAGTCAGAATTCTGACTTTTTTCCCATATTAAACTGAAATAATATTTAAAATATTAATATTATATTTAAAATATTACTTTTTTTTTTTTTTTTTCCCCCGGTGGCCCTAATCCTCTTTCATAAATTCCACCATTTTGACAGTATGGAGATGAATTTATTCCATCTACTGTTATAGAGTGTGGACCAGAATGACTCTCAGGAATTAAATTCTATAAATTGTTATTCTATATTCTAATTTATTCCATAAATTATACAAATGTGTTATTTTTGATACTTCCTTTCTGAATAACTTCTAAATAATTTAACTTTTACTTTACTTACCTTTTGAATTAATTGCGGTCACTCCTCGTCATATGTATCACAGAAAAACATCACATGTTCAGTTGTTTCATCTACTCCACAGTTTTTTACATCTAACATTCCTGTTTCTAGAGACAGAGTTCTTTTTAAGCCAGTCCGCCCAAATTTAAATCAATAAATAAATATTTCTTATCTTCTAGTTCTTCCTGTTCTCCTAATTTCTCCAGTTTTCTCCCATTCCTTTTGCCATTTATCCTTCATTTTCTGTTTAATTAACATTTTAACTTCAGATTTACTAAAATTAATAAATAAATCCACTGATAAATTTCTATTTATCTACCTGTTCATTTCTTTTAACCCCTTAATTTGATGGTATCCATGCAAAATGTATCATTAAACCAATCATATTTAATCTATATATAGTGTCTGTTGAATAATTTGGTCTGATTTCTGAGTTATTTTAATGCAAACTAATTAAGGAGGAACTAGAATCTGAACACATGTCTAATCTTAAAGGCTTAACTTCATGGTTTCTTTCTCCATGCATGGATTTACCTGTGATGATGATGATGATGTGCTCACCTGGAAGTGAAAGCTGCAGTCCTCTCCTGCAGCTCATGGTTTCAGAGATTTTGGTTCGTTTGGATGATGAACATTAATCCCTGAAATCTCTCCTCGGTGTGGCAGGTGTCTTTGATTTTTAAACTGAAAAATGTAGGCACGTCAGATTAAAACGTCCGGTTAAATGTTTTTATTTTCAAAATAAAACGTTAGTCTGCAGCTATGTGAACGCTTGAATAAAGGTTTTCCCACTTTGTTCTCAATTTTTGTATTTATTTATATTTATCCAGACAGAATTGTTGTGGTTTGAGAAGGAAATGTATTCTAATAGAGAAGAAAACTATTTTGATAGTAAAATAAAACAAATGAAACGTTTAAAATAAGCACAAACTTGTATTCCTACTTATATATATAAAAATATAAATACTAAAAAATGTAACTTCTTTCTATTTTAGTTAATAAACGGTATGAAGATAAATAGTAGTTTATTAATGCGCCACTTAGGCGGCTTTGGTTGTTTTATAACCAACTTTCCCCCCAGATAATAAAACTGTTTGACCACCAGGGGGAGACAGAGAGTGCCAAAAGATGTAAAGGTAAATCAAAACATTTTTTTTCCCATTAATCCCTTTGCTACTTTAGTTTGACACAATAAAACATAAAAACGTAAGGATTTGTTTTGGTTTGACATTTTGAATTTAACTTTTATTTAATTAAGAGAAAATTTTACCCCACATAAACCAGTTATTTCTATTTTCAGTTAAGCCATAAAGAAGTTGGTTTTATGTTAATAATAATAATAATAATAATAATCATAATAATCATTTTAATATAAAATGTTTACATTTCTATACATTTTCTAATTGCTTTGAATAGATACAAAAAAATGTAAAAGAAATATTTAATTTAATGTCGTTTAAAATGTCGTATGGTAATCGTACGGAACAGGATTAGGGCCACTAGAAAAAAAAAAAAAGGTAACTGCTTTTTAAATATTATTTCAGTTTAATATGGGAAAAAAGTCAGAATTCTGAATTTTTCCTCAGAATTCTGACTTTAATCTCACAATTATGATTTAATCTCAGAATTCTGATTTTTGTTCCTCAAAATTCTGTTTTTTTTCCTGAGAATTCTGACCCTAATCTCAGAATTGTGGATCTTAATGTAGATGGGCCCCATGAAGGCAGAGATGTGGAGCACTCAGCTTCACTGGCAAAGATATGAATTGTTTGGGAGGAACAGTAACTAATTGGTGGAAAATAACGGAATAAGGCAACTTTTTACATCCCTGAGGGATCCCTGGTGATGCTGTTTCATTAAAGGAAGAGCAGAAGGTGATTAAAACAAGAGAGCTAGTCTTTAAGACAGACATGGCTACGGCTTGATGCTAACATATTTGTTAGCTGTCAGAATTCAGTCAGGATTTTGAGATTAAAGTCAGAATTCTGTGAAAAAAGTCAGAATTCTAAAATTAAAGTCAGAATTCTGAGATTAAAATCAGAATTCTGAGAAAAAGTCAAAATTCTGATTTTTTTTCTCATATTATATTGAAATAAAATTTAAAAATCAGTCAACTTTTTTTTTTTTCAGTGTCCTTATCCTCTTCCGTATAATTGGGAATGTTAGAATGTTAGAAATTATGGAATATCCATAAGGAAATACTAGTTTTTTCTCCTGCAGTTCATCGGTAACCCGCTAGGGGGAGCGGGAGAGTCGGAATGCTTGTCGCCTACCCTGCGTAAGATCCGGCCTGGGGGAAAGGGATGAATGTTAATTTCAAAGATGGCGGCGGAGGGAGGAGGGAAGGAGATGAACGAAATTAAAACTCAGTTCACCACTCGGGAAGGCGTCTACAAACTCCTCACTCACTCCGAATACAGTCGCCCCAACAGGGTGCCTTTCAACTCGCAAGGCTCCAACCCCGTCAAGGTCTCCTTCGTAAACGTCAACGACCAGTCGGGTAACGGCGATAGGATCTGTTTCAATGTGGGCCGTGAGCTCTACTTCTACATCTACAAAGGCGTTAGAAAGGTACCGTGCTAACCCGGCTAATGTCGGCAGCGATTCCTCTTCTGCTCTGGCAGCTGTTGCTAAAGTTTAGGCAGGTCTTTGCAAAGCTGAATAACTCTGACAGGTGGTTGACTTTCAAATCTGTTAGCATGAGCTAATTAGCTTCCAGCTGAGCTAAGGCTAGGCTAACAGCCCGTTAGCCAACGCAGCTAGATAATGTTAGGAAGGCAGCATCTTCAGTGAGCCTAGAAGCTAAACATCCTCCCAGCCGCCTGTCTGATCGGTTAATCCCGGAGGTGTGTGTGAATTATGTGAGGATTATCGTGAAATGTGTCACAATCAGAGCTTCCTGGTGCGAACATCTCCTCAGGATCCAGTTGTGATGAAGCTGTCATCATTCCTGCTTCCTATTAGCCTCAATTTACTGTCAGGCAACTCAGAGGATTCCTAGTTTAAGAAAGAACTGCAGTCTTTCTCAAAAAGAAGACTAAAACACACAGTTTTGATCACAGAGATATTTATGATTGTTAGCAAAGGTTATTAAATGGTGTTAACCAAAACAAACGCATAATAAAGATGAAAAAAGAAAGCTATAAACAAATATAAATGTAATGTTTGTAGATTTTACATTAATGGATCTGAAGCATTTTAAAAGCTGTGTATGTTTAAAGTGTACAGATTACAAGTTTGAATTGACGGTTAAAAAAAACAATAAATTGACAAATTATTAGGTTAATTAGCAAAATTCTTTAAAGTTCTCAAAGCTTGAACTGTTAGTTGTAAATACAAAGCTTTTATTCAGGGATCCAGAAAGCAGGAGCTGTGATCAGGTGATTCACAGGCCTGCTGACAAAGATGTCAAATGAAACAATCAGGGATTAGATGATCAGAACTCAGCTTTTTGACATTCTGCAAGGCTAAAGGGTGCAGCTATCAGAGACATTTAATTTTAGAATCAGTTCTCATTTGTTTAAATGAATAAATTATCTCCTGCCGGATTTCTGAACTTTGAAGAATCTGCATTGGTTAGATCAGCTTTATTCTGAAAATTAAGCTCTTATTAATCTAAAAACAACCACTAACTACTGGCAAAGAAAAACCCTTTAAAGGAGAATTCTGGTTTTTAACACTTTTAGCCCATTTTCTGTAGTGTCCAGGATGATATCGAATGATTGACACCAAAATTTTGACAATTGGTCCTGTCTCTGCTTTTTGGCTCATTTAGAATCCACCCCTGGCTGCTTCAGAATGGCTTCCATAGTGCATGTCCGATAATGTCCTTAAAACAACCTTAAACGTTCTTTTTTTAAAATATGCTACTCACCGGGTCGTCAGCGGCTGTTCAATGACGTTCCAAAAAAAGTTTC